GGAAAGAAAAGAAATGTGGTGAATATATAAGATGTGCAAATGGCACTTTCAATGATAAGAAATTAACAGTAGCCACATGGAGGTCATTAAATATAAAAAAAATGCATTCCTCCAAATAATAAAGATGCAAGAATGAGTAATTATGACAGGAAGTGTTAAATCTAAAATACTCCAAAATGGTGCTTTAAAATATTGTAAAAATTGTCATAACACAATTGCATCTATTATTCATATATTGTTAGGATGTAATGAAAAAGAATCAAATATCAAAACATGATTATGTTTGTAAACAAATATTTAAACACTTATTAATTACACAATTTAATGAATTTAATGCTATCGACTTTAATAATCATCCAAAAATGTATTAATAATGATAAAATGGTTATAACTTACAATAAAGATTTATTAGCTAATGACAATTCTTTCCATGCTAGAAGACCAGATATATATTATCAAAATATTACAGAAAAGAAAGGATATATTATAGATGTTGCTATATGTCAAGATAATAATTTAGAATTAAATTATATTCATAAAATAAATAAGTACAAAAATTTACAAGAGAAATTAAGAAATAATAGAGAAATAATATATGTAGAAATAATATCTGTTATATTATCAATAAATTGATTAATTCATAAAGAATCAGTAAGAAGATTAAAATCACTGAAATTACAATTAGACTTTTCCAAAATCCTACGAACAATTATTATAAAAAATATGAAAGACTTAATGTTTTACACATTCAATTCTTGCAGCACATTAGAAGAAGAACAATCTAATGCGAGCATGCTAGAAATGAACTCTATTACACCAATAGAGCATATTGAAGAAAGTGAAATAAACACTTCTCAATATGAAGAAAATCCAATTGAGGATATATTTGTAATTGACCTTTTTTTAAATTCAACTTTTTGACTTAAATTCACTTTAAAATAATATGAAAAGTATTTTAAAACATATAATTATATGTATTAATTGTTATTCATTTATACCAATAAAAAAGTATCAATTAGAATTATCTAGAATAAAATAAAAGTGATTCCAATAGAAAGAATAATAAAAGTGCAGGATATTCCATTAAGATTGGTTGTTTCATTTACATCATCATCTGGTTTATTCATTTTATCACTTTCTGTTCCATTGGTTGTTTCATTTTTATTTGATAATTCCGGTGATTTTTTATCTGTTGAATTATCAGAAGCTTTGTTTGATTCTTCTGGTGTTGCATCTGGTGATGATGGCGATCCATTTTGTGATTTGTCTGATGGTGTTGGTACTGATGGTGTTGTTTCTGCTTGATTTGGTACTGTATTTGTTTGTCCTGACATCCCTGAAGATGGGGTTGTTTGTGAATTTGGCACTGATTCTCCTGATGGAGATTTTTCTTTTCCTGGTGTTGTATTTGGAGCAGAGCCTGTTGTTGATTCAGATGATCCTGTTGGTTTTTGTACTTCATCTTTTGATTGTGGTTGTGGTGCTGAATTTGACTCTGTATTTTTTTGGTTGTGTGGGTACATTTGTTTTCTGCGTTGATGCTGTGTCTGTTGATTGTGATGAACCTGATTGATTTGGTACAGTGTCTTGTGTTTGTGGTACACTTGGTTGTTGTGCACCTGTTGGTAATGGTTGGGTTGGTTGTCCTGTTGAACCTGATTGGGATGTTTGTGTTTGTGATGAACCTGCACCATCAAGTGTTTGTTCTTTTGATTTTTCTTGTCCTGGTGGTGTGTCTTTTGTTGGTGACGTTTGTGCTGATTCTCCTCCAGCGTGTGTTGAATCTGCTTGTGGTGATGGTCCTTTTGTTGTTTCAACTCCTTTTTGTGATTGGGATGATTCTGTTGATGTTGATACGGTTGCTGGTGCTCCTGGTGTTATAGTGTTTGGTTCTCCTCCTGATGGTGTTGTAACTTTTCCTGGTTCTGATGGTGATTCTTCAGCTTTTGGTATTGGTGGTTTTATATCTTCCAGTGTTGACACAATTTCACTTTTTAAATATTTATTTGTCCGTGTTGCAATAGTAAGTACAACAAATACTATAAATATAAACATTGGTTGAATAATTATTAAGTTGCTTCCTTAAATATATCTCTATCCCATAATCACTTATTTCTTTTCGTTCTATTCATCAACATTTATTTCTTTTTGTGTCTTTTTGTTGTTTATCATCAATATTACCAATTTGTTGATGAAATGATAAACTATTCAAAAGATTTCTATACTATAAATACATGCTTTAATTATGAATTTTAATAATTCATACAAAAATTGATTATGAGTAGAATCATTATTCAAAAATCTATGTCTAATCATTTTTATTCTATATGATTCATCCTAAATAAAATGATTTATTTTTATTATTTTATCTTACTCTTATTCAAAAAATAGTAAATACTTTCTATTCTATTTAATTAAATAGTTGATGCGAATCAACAAATACCATTAATTAAATATATTTATGAATTAATACCATATTAAGTTTTTAATAACTAAAAAAACTCATTTTTGTAAAAATTACAAAAATATTCAAATTTATTTTATCGTCATTTTATTTTTGTACCATTTTTTTTTTGTAATAAATAAAACATACAATTGAATTTAATTCATTAGTCAATTCAAATTTATCTGATTATGAATTAAATAATAAATAATTTGTATTATTTGAGAATATTTCCTATTTGTTGTTTTGTTTCATTATTTAATAATTCTCTTTTTGTGTTATTTCATTTGTACTATTTCTTCAATGCTAATATTATTTATTTTATTTCCATTTTGTTTGGTTTTGAATATATATTAATTGAATTCAATATTAAATTATATCTTTATATTTTATTTGTATATTTTCTTCCTTTCTTCTTTTTCTATTTTTTCTTCATGAATTATTGACATTTCTATTTTTATATTACTTAAAGAGATACTTTTCCGATGCAGGAAATACAACAGATTTTATTGCTGTGGTTATTGTGTAAAACCTTTGAGTCTTATAAATAAAACAAAACAAATAATAGAAATCCAGTGTTATACAGTAAAAAATGAATGTCAATAGCAATAAATGGCATAACAATAACGGTAAATGAAATACAAAGGAAAAATGGATTAGAAGATGAAAGACACAAAGAAAAACAAATAAAAAACAGTGTAAATACAATAATAATAAAGATTATAAAAATAACAAATAGAAATAGTTAACAATAAATGATATACAAGAAAGAATAAAAAGAATAACAAGTGAATGGGGAAAGGATAATAATTAGAAATACTCAAGAAGTAAGAAAGTAAGAGGAAAAAATGGTATGATATCCTTCAAGAAGTATATTCAATCAAAAAGAAAAAGATAATTGAAAAAACAAAAGATTGGGAGGAAAAAGACATTAAAACAAATGAAGAAGAAATTAAAAACAAAAACCCAAAGAAAGAAATGAGTGAAAGACGTAAAATTGTAAGAATAATAAATAGCAAAGAAAGTATAATGAAAATACAAGAAGAAACAAAAAATAAAGAAGAAATATAAATTTAATTGAAGTGCTGTATTGTTTTGAATTAATTGGTTAATAAGAAATTATATAAGAAAATAAGAAAGGAAGAAATAGAAAATAAAATAAAAGTGACAAATAATAAATAAAAATTACTTAATTAAGTATTAATAGATTTTTCATATATTCTTCCTAGTTTAGCCGAGATTAATCACATCCCTGAGTTATTTGTTTTTTAAAAACAGTAATCTTTTTCTTTAACTTATCATTTATGTTTTTCTTGCAAAATGAAAAAATCACTTCTTTGTTTTATTTTTTCTTATTAATGTCTTCTCATCCTTCTTCTGCTTATTTCTTCTTTTCATCCTTTTGTTTATTTTCTATCTTAATTTTAAACATTTTCTTTTTCCTTTTTTCTTTATTTTATGAATGAGAGAAAAGACTATTTCATTCCAATTATATTATTATGTTTAATTTTCTTTTAGTCTTACCCACATTTTAGTACTTCCTTATATTACACCATGTAACATTCTATCATAATATCTTGCTCCACCCTTTGCAACTTTATCTAATACATTTCTAATTCAAATACACTATCATAACCAGAAAATAATTGGGATAGTAAGAAAAACAGAATAAAAAAAGAAAAAAGATAGGAAAAAAAATAAAATAAATTACATCTTTTATACCTATTATTACTTATTACTTATTACTTCTTATATCTTATATATTATATATTATACCTTCTTATTCTTTCTATTTTATACTATATCCTTTATATATTACTTATTATATCTTATATCTTATACCTTATACCTTATACCTTATTATATCTCATCCTTTCTACTATACACTATACTATACTAGACTTTACTTCTTCTATACTTTTTATCCTTTCCTACTTTATACTTTATACTTTCATA